CAGATGCTTGGCAACTGATTCATATTTATTTATGACGGTCACAGTGTCCCAGGGTCATGTGAAGTGACCCAAAACCTGCTGCAACCACCCAGCAGACGGGGGAATAAAAACCAAATACCCCCCCACCCCCGCTGCCAATCCTCAACAGAAATGCTCACAACAATGAAAACCTTGGACAGGAGGAAGAACGCCGCCAGGTGGGCAGGCAGGTGTCTTGCTCGGCTGTGGCTTGGGGGGCACTTTTTTCAGTGCCATTGTAACTTCGAACAGTCACTAAGCAAACTGTTGTAAGTCGAGGACTACCTGTACTTTATCATTTTTTTGCTTTTTTTTTTTTGGTCATCAAGTTTTTGACACCTTGCTAGGCGACTGGTGGTACTCGGATATTGCCATGTCCTAAAATTGGTACAATGGGTGAAAAGGTTGAAAAGCCCTGTACTAGCGCATATATATATATATATATACTATTAATGTCTAAGAAATGAGAAAAAAAGCAATTTAAAAAAGGTTTCCTGATCAATCATTTTGAAATAATTCATACTCATTATAATTTACCCTTGATTAATATTTTAAAAGTGTATTTTTAAAGTCTATCACTTCCAAACAAACTTACTGCTGTCACTGCCTTCAGTGGATAATCTATTTTAAGATTACCAAATTTGAACTCAAAAACACAGATGACCATTTGATGACCACAAAGAAACGTAATGTCTGTTCTCTGATGCCCTTCAGTTGTTATCCAGAGTTTTGCAGCACAGTTGTATTACCTTTAATTTGTTCAGAAATCTCATCACATGTAAAAGTGCTTATAGCATGATAGAATGTTTCATATTATTTCAGTTCTTGAAATATTTTGTCCTCCAACTCTTTTCCTCTGCCCATTACTGATATATGAATAGGGTGAATTGAGCTCTTTCCCCCCCAAATTGAATTATTACCTTCCTTAACAGTTGTAATAAATTGCTGATAAACTCACATCCACCCAATAGCTCTAGACTGCCGTGTTTCTCAACCTTGGCAACTTGAAGATGTGTGGACTTCAACTCCCAAATTCCCCAGCCAGCGCATGCTGGCTGGGGAATTCTGGGAATTGAAGTCCACATACCTTCAAGTTGCCAAGGTTGAGAAACACTGCTCTAGAGCTTGCCCCAGAAGTACATTTATGCCTCAAAATACACCAATCATGGAACACATTTGTTGAAGCAAGTTACCTTGGACAACTAAGAGGCACATTTCCAGCAATATTTATGAAGGAGAGAGAAGGATATAAAAGAGAACCAGTTTGCTCTAGTGGTTAAAATGCTACACTAGAAACAAGACAACTGTGAGTTCTGGTCGCACCTTAGTCATGAAAACTAACTGGGTGGCTCTGGGCCAGTCACTCTCAACCTACATCAGGATTAGGCAACAATCTGGTCATTCAATTCCTGTCATAACCAATGGATCAGCATTCTACAAGTAATCTTTGACTTACAACCACAACCAAACCCAAAATTTCTGTTGCTAAGTGAGATAGTTATTGAGTTTTGCCCCATTTATGGCCTTTCTTGCCATAGTTGTTAAGTGAATCACTGCAGATGTTTAGTGAATCTGGCTTCCCCATTGACTTTGGTTGTCAGAAGGTTGCAAAAGGTGATCACATGACACTGGAATACTGCAATTGCCATAAATATGAGCCAGTTGTCAAGCATCCAAACGTTGATCCCATGACCATGGGGCTGCTGCAACAGTCACAAGGGTAAAAAAAACAGTCATAAATCATTTTTTTCAGTACTATTGTAACTTTGGTCACTAAATGAAAGGTCGTAAATCAAGAATCATTTGTATTGATTTAAAAAAAAAACACTTGCAGGAAAATGCTAGGAAAGAAAAAAGAGAGAACATCAAAATAGCCCTGTTGGAACAAGTCAAACCCAGATTTCTCAGAGTCCCCAACCATATGGCTGTGAATTATTGCAAACAGGCAACCAAGACATTCTCTTTTCCCTTTGTTGTTCCCCTTCCCCTAGTATTGGGAAGCAGATTTAAGTGAGCCTTTAATTTGTATCACTTGATAAGACTTGTTTTCTTCATGAATTCAGCCACCTTTTAAGGCTATACAAAAAAGTGACTACTGGTAATGAATTCTAGAGATTAATTACATGTTCTGTAAAGGGGTTCTTGCCTGTTCTAACACATCTAAATCAGCATCATCAGATGATCCCTTGTCAGAATATTTTAAAAGGGAAAAAACGTTCTGTCCATTTTCTCCATATCTTACACCTCAATCATAACCCTACCCTTGGACCAAGCTGAAATCTGAAATATTCTAGTCTTTTCTCATAGGAAGAATCTTGCCTTGACCAGTCATGTTTTTGTATGTCCTTCTGCACTTTTTTGAATTTACATCTGTACCTTAAGTGTGATGAATAGAACTAGTATACACCATAGTAGATGCAGTTATACAGTAGGTCCATATAATGACATTACAAGATTAGCAGTTTTATTTTAAAATCCTTTTCCTAATGAATTCTACTATAGCATTTGCTTTTTTCATCACTGCTCCATTGATATCCTTACTGAGCTATTTACTATGGACCCCAAGATCCTTTCCCTTGATAACTGAGACTCAGGCCCTAGCTGTGTAAATGCAAAATTAGGAGTAGCTTTTGTTCTAATATGCATCACTTTACACTGCTTAAATTAAACTGCATTTATCGTTTAGCTAACCATTTATCATGCTTAAAGAAATTATACTGGGACTTTTCACATCACTTTTGGATTTTACCATCCCTGTATAGCTTAGCACTGTCCACAAACTTGGTCAGTTCACTGCTTAGCTTTAAATCAAGTCACTTTATTTTAAAACATTTAATCATTTTAAATGTTAATCAATCTAAGCATTGACATATTATATACTCATTTGTTAGACTGATATCCTATTTATTCTTCAGGAGCAAAAAGCAATATATGTAGCATCCTCTCCAAGTTTTCTGAACAACAGGTATTATTTGCATGACATGCTAACTCACAGTTATCTAAGCATGGCTTATATACATTGCCCAACTTTTTCAGTTTGTATGATATACTGTGCCATAAACTATCCAAAAAGGCTGGGTTCATACAACATGCTCAGTTGATATGTTTGTGACTCAATGTATCACGTGATAAAGACACTACCTGATCCACATGAGCTTCTACTGCTAAGAATGGATTTGAGCCTATATCTTAAACCAATATCTGAATTATTATAGTCTCTTGTAATCAGATTCTCTTTAATTCAAATCTATACTTTGATTTATTGGACTTTGATTTTACAATGCTGGGATATTTTGCTTGATAAGTTACAAATGTTTAAAGATCTGATCTGCCATTACTATTGGTTAGTTCAAAACAAGGTCCCCATGATTTCAAAGTCTGAAGGACAGGAGATTATAGCGGGCAAAACTTTGCAGATTTTTTACAACTTTGTAGTGTTGTCAAGTTTAATTACACCTGCTAGAAGTTCTCTTCCAAAGGCACAACACAGAAGCCACATCTCTTGATCTAGAAACCCACTTACCTGTTATCTAAGATAATTTCTGAATAATAATTATGTACATCAATAAATAGCTACTATCCCTTTCAACTGTTTACTTTTCTGCAAAATCATTAATTCTGCACCCACTGAGCATTCCCAAAAAAAGTTTTACACATTTATCAAATCTGACTGAGAAGCCAAGGCACCAAATGTTGAAAGATATTTAGATTTTTAAATTGCTGTATCTTAAAGATGTTCAAGTTCAAATTTAAAGGAAATATACATCCTGTAAACAGGAAAAACTGTGTAGTAGAAATATTTAAAAAATCATCTTGTACAGATCATATCTGATTTCTATCCTTTCAGCAGCAGTAACTTTGAAATAAAGTTGCTTATGCTTACAAAATGTGCAAAACTGATTGAAGTTATTATTTTACTGATGAGAAAACAGCAAGTTTCTTGCCTATGGCCTGCCCAGGTTTCATTTTCACCAAACTTCATCAGAATATAAAGCTACCTTCGTTAATCACAGTTATCATACTGGATTGATGAACTTTAGCATCATTTCACCTTTTACCAATTATTCAACCTAATTCTTTGCCTTCTAGGAAAGGGGATCAGGATGAAGACTCTTACCTGTTGGCCTCAGTAAATAACTTCTGCCACTTTGTTCTTTATCAAGATAAATAGGAATAACCAATGACCCGGACAGTATAGTGGGCAGGGATAATTATAGAAACAGAATAAGATAACACCTCTACCCATTCCATTAGCATTTTCCCTTTGAAAAGCAGTAACAGCACTCACAGCTCACTATTTGGCAGCATCTCTCCGTCTTCCAATCCTTTCCCCCTTACGCAGCTGCACCAGGATCATTATTCCGCAAGGCCCCTGCAGCAACATTATACGCAGGCGCAACAGAAGAGGGGTGGGAGGAGAAGGAAAGAAAAGCCAGGAAGCTGCAGGATGTGACTGTTCCTCTTTCATTCCCTTCAGCGCAGGCGCAAAGGAGCGGCATGCCACAAACTTTTTGCACCGCATGCGTGCCCTAGAATTAACCTGAACCTCCCTCTCTCGCACAACGATTTCATGCAAGGCGCCTGCGCAATCTCTGCCAGCCTTTGAATGAAGGCGCATGGGCTACACTCCGAACGGACGAGGCTACATCATAGCGCATGCGCGACCCTCAACCGAGGTTTTTAGCCTTCCGCCCCGCCCCTTCTTGCGTCAGGGCCTTTGGCTCATTATTTTGCAATCAGTTACCTATGAGCGTTATATATTACTCCCTTTGTCCCTATGATGTGGTGAGTTATACCTGTCACCCGTTCCACCTCACCTGCAAACGATACGCAATAGCTGCAGCTGTCCCCTTGAGGTCTCTTCATAACGCCCTGACCTGACACATCCGGGACTATAAGTGACGTTACCACGACGCCTCGTTCATTCAACGGCAGGCGGGGAGGAGACTGGGAGGTAGCGCCATTGCGCATGCGCAACAGGGAGCGGACACAGCAAAAATGGCGGGAAAGAAGTAATGTCGAGGATGAATCGCACAATATTGGGAATAGTACAGGAGATACTAGGAAGGAAGGAAAGTAATCAGAGGTGGGATCATGTTTCAGCATTATTATCGAAAGTAATATTCAATATGCACATTAAAAGTACACCCGATTTTTATGCAGCGATTAAGTGATCTCCAAATACAATTCATAAACATGTTTTAATTGTCTTCTAATAATATTTCAGATACTGAATTTCAAAGATCATGCTGCCACCGAGAAATAAAGGGATATTAGCATCGGTAAGTAATAGCTTTGGAATTTTATTGAACCATAATGTGTTCTCCTAACTTTTAGGCTTCATTATTATAGCATTTTAAAAGGTGGTGGTACTTTTAACATGACAGTCTAGGGAGGCCCTTTTTTCAACTTAAGAAAAACATTTATTTTTCTTTATTGTCCTTGCAATCAGAAGCCAATTGTAACACTATCTCAAGACCTTTTTCTTATAATCTAAGAAGCAAAATTAACCCTTTTAAAAATATAGCATTTTTCTTTTTGTGAATAAATTTGTCACAGACATTTGCATTTTTCCCTTAAATATTGCTCGTGGAGTAATAAACCAATGAACATTGTAAGACTATAATTTGACATTATCAAAGCTAATAGAAGATTTGTTATCCAAACGCCACTACTGCATGTCCATGCTATTGCAATCACAATAATCTGTCTTTGTTTTATTTAAGAATACATTTTTCTTTGTTTACTTGTCTCTCTGCCTGTTGAATGGTTTGCTTGAATTTAATATAAACATTCCTACCTGTGTAAATAGAGCCATATCCTTTCCCCAGCTGAAAAGTGAGGAGGAAGAATTCCTGTGTCCCTATAGGGAAGAGGGTTTTTTGTGATTGTTACATTATCAATGTTAAGGTATCACTGCTTATAGCTGCATCCTATGCAGTAGTTGCCTAAGAGCTTGGCTACTGTTGTCCTTTCTGTTCAAACCATAAGACTTGGTTATGAGTTTTCCATAAACTAGATTTTGGGGGGTTCTTTTTGTTTCTCATAAGCAAATTTTGTTTTTCTCCTCGAATCAATGTTTAGCCACTTATGAAGTAAAGCTTCTAGTTACCCCAAATGAGACTTTGAAACTATATACAATTTTGAATCTTGCAACTCTGCTTCCTGAGACTACAGATAAAAGAAGTTGCCAACATAACTGCAGAGCGTAAACTTGTACAGAAACCTTGCTCATACTAAGGTGCCCCTATAAATCCTTTGAATTTTTTTGGGCTGGATCTCCTTTGGGGTTGACAAAATCTGTTTAATGGGGAATACATTTATTTTCTTTTTTTAATCTGTTGAACGAACCCTTTTTACTGTCCTTGGGAGCCTAAGTAGTTGAATGTACTGTCTTAATTAATGTTTGTTGTATTGCCACAGACAAAACTGTTAATATCTTCACTGACTCTATGTATGTTTTTTGGTGTTACAGATGCCTTACGGTAGCTGAGAGGAATCTTAACCTCAGGCTGCCAAATTGCTCACGCAAACCTGATGGTTTCACTTTTGGGTGCACTTCTCTGTTTTATGAAAGGCAGTCACTTTGCCGATCTGAATGCTAATTAATTTTTCTATGTTTAAAGGTATCTCTGTTATTGCTTATGAGAAGTTTTTTTCAGATGCTGGAACTGCCACTTGCAATATCTTTATGATGCATCTTGGAATAGTTCTGGATGGTTTCCAATAGGCACCCAATTTTTCTACATGCTTTTCTTCATCTTCTGACTCACCAGCTAAGTGTGAAAGGACATTGTGATTCCCAAACTATTATAAACGGGCTTATTCCTGGAGCCTTTAGGAAATTTCTAGGAGCTTCTTCTAGACAAAAGACTCACGAATAGTGGCTTCTCTGCTAGCTCAGTGCATCCATGGCTAAGGGGAAATGAATTAACTGCCAAACAGCTTCCATCATTACAGAAGCAGCACTGAAAGCTGTGGACAGTAATGGGACCTACAGTTGCCCTGAGTGATCAGTTCAGCAGGGAGAATTTGTGCTGCTTAAAATTTCCATCACAGGACTCTAGATCCAACCTTGGACAGTCCACTTCAGATTTTTGCTACCCAACCCACTGTCCTTGTAAAAGAAAAAGGTCCTTGGTTTCCTCACAGGTAACAACAACAACAATAATAATAGAGTTGGAAGGGAGGTCTTCTAGTCCAACCCCCTGCTCAGGCAGGAAACCCTATACCATTTCAGAAAAATGGCTGTCCAGTCTCTTCTTAAAAACTTCCATTGTTGGAGCACTCACAACTTCTGGAGGCAGATTGTTCCACTGATTAATTGTTCTAACTGTCAGGAAATTTCTCCTTACTTGTAGGTGGATATTATCAGATTCTTGGAACTTGCCACAAATAATTTTTGTGGACTTACTACTTCTAAAAAACCCATGATTTCTTTGGACCTTTGCTTCTGCTGCTACTTTTACAATCTTTTTTATGCTGCAAATACGGGTGGGACAGGCTGGAAGAGCAGAATTCCTAGTTATCAGCAGCATATGATTGATAATTCTGGCATGTGAAATAGAATTGTATTCCTTCTTTACAGACTCCTTGGAGTAAGAGATATCCTCTTTTTCCTGTGCTTTAAGTACTGATTGTTGGGTAAATCACATTATTGCATTTGATTTCACTATAATGCAGGAACACTCCAATCCCCCAATCTGTTTTCAAAGGACATCAGTTGCCCAAATACACAAGAGGTATTTCTGCCATGCTTGTATTAACCCAATTAATTATGAAGCAACTTGGATATTAAAATGCAACACAGGGCAAATAACAAAACATAATGGCACTTACTCTTAGCCAAGGCCATTTCTATTGGAATGCAAAAACTTGTCTTTTTACTACTGAGCAATAGAGAGCAACATCTGAAAATCCTTGAGTATACTTGCAAGTTATAAGAAAGATAAAACTTAGCTGGAAAAGTGTAATGTAACCCATAATTTGCCTCTTGCAAATGTTATTAAAATTGTGTTTTCTATTGTTTAAGTCTTATGCAATGAGCACTTGATTACTTGCTTTCTGACATATCACATATACCAAATGTATGTATCATTTATTTCTGTACCTTATAAAAAGCCTTGGTATCCCCGTTAATAAATGCCTTTTGCTTTGCCTAAATTACTTAGTAATTCATATTTTTGGGTGGAAAATGTCCCTTTGCATAGGTAAGTCTCTCAAATATAGGCAGTTTATTTACATTCATAATAAAATGTGGAATACACCAAAGTTATATTACTGCATCTCAAAGTAGAAATAAATTATTTTTATAAAGGTTTATCATTTAAAAAATAATTAAATGACAACTGATGGATATGTACATTTAAAACTTTAAAGGCCATTATAGATGGCATCTTGTCAAGTAGTATTGGAAAGAAAGTTCCAGCTGATTTTGGCCAACAGAAAATTCAGTTGGGAGGGGTAAATTCGCCTAGCTGGCTTTTATGCCTGAGGGAGACCTAGAACTCAACATTTCTTGGTTTCTAGGCCAGCATTTTAACTATACTATACACCACTGGTTCTTAACCTTTTTAAACGAATCGCCCCCTTGAGCCAACGAGGAAGTTGTCATCGCCCCCCTCCCCCAACATAACCTCTCAATCACAACATAAGAAATAATTCTTCAATTTATGCAAACACTTGTTTTGTTTTCTTTAAAATTGTCATCAGAACATATTGATGCAAATAATTTATTTCCAGTCTTTTTCCCATATCTCAACTGTGAAAAATTTTGGTGCCACCCGTCGCTTTATTCCCAAACTTTGTGATACGTGTATTTCATTATTATCTTATTTATTCAAGACACTTAAATGTAATGACCACTGAAAACAAAATTCAATTGCAAGAAAGTGAAATGCACGAAAAGAAAAACAGTAACATTTAATGATTGAATTACAAGTGAAATTTAAGACACAAAAAGAAATATAAAAAGGGTAGAGGCTGCTGCGCAACGCGCATGAAGATAAGCGATGCGTATTCACATGTACGGCGTTCTGTATTGAAGCAAGCTGGAGGAACATTTGAAAACACAATTCAATCCACTAATAGCGAGTGATCTGATGTTTTTGTACGACAGATATACAGCGATTCACTGTATGAAAAAGTCTCAAAAGTGTCCCCAAAACGTCTTGCTCCATCACCCCCATATCGCCCCCTTTTTGTTCCTTCGCCCCCACGTCGCCCCTTTTTGTTCCATCGCCCCCCTGAAAAACGAAATCGCCCCCTGGGGGGTGATATCGCCCAGGTTAAGAACCACTGCTATACACCAAATTACATCATCGGCATCAATTTGCATAATTTACATAATTGATAGAAATCTTGGCCTGTTAAATGAGAGTGCAATAGTACATACACACACAAAACGTATACACACATGTACACTGTAACATTTGGAAAGAAATTGGTATCCTGTGCAGAGATTTTAAAAAAGAAATTGTGAGGAACCATCTTAACTGCAGCACTTTGTGTCAGTTGAACTTTCCACATCCTATATAAGAGCAACACTACATTAAGCATAATGTAAAAATCAAGACTGTATTTCTATTTTATTTATTCTTTGTTTAATTGTTTGAATTTAATAGATGCTTAAGTATAGAGGCAATTCTATGCTTATTTACTTTGGAATAACTCTTAGTAAATATAGGTAATTCTCAACTTAAAACAATTTGTTTAGTGATTGATCAAAGTTGCAACGGCAACATTGTGACTTGTGACCGTATTTTACACTTAACAACCATTGCAGCATCCCTGTGGTCATGAGATCAAAATTCAGCTGCTTGGCAACTGGCATGTATCAGTTGCAGTGTCCCAGGGTCATATGATCACTTTTTGCAACCTGACAAACAAAGTCAGATTCACTTAACCCTGTTCCTAACTTAACTGTAATGATTCATTTAACAACTGTGGCAAGGAAGGTCATAAAGTGGAGCAAAACACACTTAACAAATGTTTCACTTAGCAACAGAAATTTTGGGCTCAATTGTGGTCATAAGTCGAGGACTACCTGTACTGGACAAATTGACAAATCTGATATTTATCTGATTAAGAAGATAAAGACTTTCAAATTATGCTTGATTCCTGGTAATCATATCCAAGCAGTTTTCTTGACAGTGTTATGGAAACACTGTTTCACTGGGATTTTTCTTTTTTTTTTTAATAACTCCAATTCTGACTAAAAGTGCTGAGGAATTGCCAAGCGATCCCAAGTACTAAAGCCCATTCCACTTGTAGCTTATGAGATCTTTCAGGATCTACTTGGTCCTACAATTTACTAAGGCTATTTATCTAAATAATTGTCAATAGAGAACCTTGTTATCTCTATTTATAGGATTTTGACAGGACTATATTTGTCATAACCAGAAAAAAAATGCTTTCAGTTCAGTAGTGATCAAAGGAGCAATTCTTTACCTATATCTGTTTATAGTAATAGAAACTTCTACTGAATAAAATGCAATTTGCTTCTTTATGAACATGTGTTGGATTGAGTAATTAGTCATCACCAGGTGGAGGCCACGGCCCAAAGGAGGGTCCGGCCCGAGGGACGCGGCCTGGCGGAGGACCCAGGCGCCGACGGGGGATCTGCCCCGAAGGGCTCGGCCTGGCGGAGGATCGGGGCCCGGTGGAGTGCGCCCGGGCTCAGCGGTGAGTGCCCGACGAGCGCGAATGCCTGGGCCCGCGCCTCATGGAGGCTGAGGGCCGGGGGAGGGCTGAATTTGGTCTGAGGCCCTCCAGCAGAAGATCCTGCAGCCGGCCTCTGTGGAGATGGTGGGGGCCCGGCGTGGACCTGAGGTTCATGTGGTTGGGGCCCGGCTGACTTTGACTTTGCCATTCCCCCCCCCTATGGGGGACAACGAGAACAACAAACTGCTGCTGCTACTCTCTCTTTATCCATCTCAGGCCCCTGACCAAGATAAATCCATCATGAGGACTTTTTCCCCCCCTTCTCTGCTGCTGGACTTCCTGTTGTGGACCGGACTGTATTCCAGGAAGGAACTGCTGGCCCTGCGCGATTCCCCCATCGCGCAGGCATGGCCCAATACCATCTCAAGGGCCTGCCTCAATGAAGGGGTGTGGAACCCCGAGAGGTGGTGTACAGCAAGAGGGGAACTAAGGAGAAAAAAATTGAGAGTCTTCTTAGAGGGGTGTTTTATCAAATTTTTAGGGGGCTCGGGGTTGGCCCGAGGGGACTTGGGGGAGCCCTCTCTGAGGCCAAGGCCAGTCCTGTCTGAGGGGCGCGGAACGGTGAGGGAGGAGACTGGGGGGTTAATAGAGGGTGGTGTGATTAGTACGGTCAGTGGGAGGGGCAGATATGGCGGGAGCAGAGGACCATATCGGGTTTTGGGAGCACGCACATGCTGCTTACAAGCTTGTGGGTGCTCCGATCCTTAGGGCTCTACTCGGCCTCCAGGGACTTTAGATCCTCGGGCCCGGGATCATCGGCTGATGTTATGCAACGCCAGGTCCGTGGTAAATAAGGCCCCCCTCATTCAAGAGCTCATTCAAGAGGGGGGAGCGGACCTGGCAGGTATCACCGAAACCTGGCTGGGCATGGAAGGGGGAGTTCCCCTTGTTGATCTATGCCCGCCGGGTTTCCAGGCATTCCATCAACCGAGGGCCCGGGGTAGGGGCGGTGGGGTAGCGGTCATTATAAGGGAGAGCCTATGTCCGAGGGAGACCACTGTGCCTCAGATAGACGGTGCAGAGTCCCTCCTTGTGAAGTGGGGGCAAGGGGTAC